ATATATACACATACCAAAGGAGCTCCAGTGGCATAATGGGTAATGCATTTGGCTGCTACCAGAAGGTCGATATTTCAAATGCACCAGCTGCGCTCTGTGGGAGGGAGATGATGCAATCTACTTCCATAAAGATTTACAGCCTTGGAAACCCAATGGGAGTTGCTCTGATTCAGAATCCACCTAATGGCAGCGAGTTCGGTTTTTGGGGGTTTTACTTTACCATGGATGATGTTCTTTTCCCCGAACTGGTCCCTTCTGGTCCTTCTGATAACATGTACAAAGTAGAGAGGAAGTCTTGCTGTATATATATATATATATATATATATATATGTACACATATATATGTATGTCAACTCAAAAAACTCAAAACTCACTGCCGTTGAGTCGGATCTGACTCATAGCGACCCCTCCTTGGATTTCCAAGGCAGTTTCACTACAGAAGTAGATTGCCCAATGTTCCTTCTGAGGAGTGTCTGGTGGGTTTGAACCGCCAGCCTTCTGGTTAGCAGTCAAATGCCTTAGGCACTACACCACCAGAGTTCCCTATTAAAAAAAAAAAACAAAAACTCACTACTGTGGAGTTGGATCCAACTCATAGCGACCCCTCCTTGGATTTCTGAGGCAGTTCACTCAGGAAGTAGATTGTCCAACCTTCCTTCCAAGGAGTGGCTTGTAGGCTTGAAGCACCAGCCTTCTGTTTAGCAGTCAAATGCCTTAGGCACTATGCCACTAGAGCTCCCACTCTTTCATAGGGGGTCACTGAATCAAAATTGACTCTAAGGCACATAACAACAGCAACAGTGGAGAACTATTTGTACCACCCAGGGACTCAGAAGAGGGTCTCTATTTTAGATAAAGTAGTCTAGGTAGGCCTCTCCAAGAAAGAGCACACCATCCAAAAAGCAGAGGGAACTAATTAATCTTCAATGCAAGGGTAAGTCTTTGGAGACTTTAAGTGGCAGGACCTGATTTGTAGTTTACAAAGAGCCCTTAGCTTCCTATGCCATGTGGAGAATGAATTATACTGGCAAGAGTCAGAGAGGGCAACAGTTGTTAGGAAGCAACATTTACTGAATTTGAATGTCCAATAGTCATCTAAAAAGAAACACTTAGATCATTGACTCCATCCAAACAAAACAATGAAAAAGTACTCTCTCTTAGTCTTCTCCATCTCTGTTAACAGCACCACCATTTACCCAGATAGCCCAAAATTTAGGGGCTATACTTGCCTCCTTCCCCTCCCTCATCCTCTGCATCCCAAGTCCAGTTTACTCATTCCTTCTCTACTTCTCTCCAATCCTACTGCCCCACTCGGATCCAGGCAGTCATCACCCTCCCACGGACTTCTTCACCTCCCCTCTGCCTCCTACAGTCCATTCTCCACGCAAAAGCCAGGGCTCCTTTTTATAAACACAGAGCTTTTAAACTAGAACTTTTTCCGTCCTCGGGACATTTAATGAGACCTGGGCCACCGAAGCCTGGAGAGAGAGGTGAAAGGATAGGGGCAAAGGGCCAAACACGCCGCCTTCAGGGGGCGCGGCCGCCCTGCCTGGCTCAAGGCTGCCTGGGTCTAGGAACCTTTCTTCCCTGCGGTAGGGGAAGCTTTTCCAGTAGTAACTTCCTGTTTCGTCGACCCTATTTCCCGTGCTGCACCGCGGCCTTTCTCTCTTTTCCGTTCTCTGACGGCCCGCGAGCTGCGGTAGACCGTGAGTCCCAACCGCGCGGTATCGAGCGCCATCCGCGGTCCCATGGCTGCGGTGGAAGCAGGGGGAGCGGTTGCGTGGGAAACGGAGGCTGCGGGGCGGGGGTGGTGTTGCTGGTAGATCCTCAAGGGCTGGATCAAAGAGAGGGCGGGAGAACTTGCATTTTAGGGGACTCAAGTTCCTAGGGGTGCTGCTGGTGGGGGGGCGGTTCTGAGTACCATTTCTAGATTTAAGAGGCGGGAACTGGCATCGGGTCGAGCAGAGTGAGTCCGGCAGGTGGAGGCCGCAGGTCCAGGCTTCTGTGGTGCAGCCTGCCTTTGGCTTCCCTCGCCTCCAGATCAGGGTGGAGGATGGGCCCAGGCCCGCAAGTTCTCAGCCCTGATCTCCTCCATCCTCTTCCAGGTGCGGACATGGCCAAGTCCAAGAACCACACCACGCACAACCAGTGTAAGTTTCCCGGACTCAATCACCAGGTCGGAACCTAGCCCCTGGCCAGGAATGGTTTAGGGATAGATGGTGAGAAGTAGTGAAGTAGTGCGTTTCCATTGCGAGTCTGGGACTGTTTTTTTTTTTCATCCAGTGTTATTTTTAGAATTACAGATTTAGGAGCCAGGGATCCATTTGAGATGCCATATTGCTTTACAGGCACTGATAGCCAAAAACCATACTCATCCCTTTGATTCCGACTGGTAGATACCCTTACTAGGTTTCTAAGGCTGTTAATCTTTACAGAAGCAGACTGACCCATCTTCTGTGGAGCTGCTGGTGGCTTTGAACTGCCAACTGTCTCATTAGCAGCCAGATGCTTTAACCACTGCACCACCAGAGCTCCTTATTCACTGATAAGGGGGGGTGTCCCAAATCTCAAGAAGATTTCCTGGAAAGTAATGATTCCCCCGCAGCTCTGGTAGCATAGTGGCTAAGGCACTTGACTGCTAACCAGAAGGCTTCTAGTTCAAAGCCACCAGCCACTCCTCAGGAGGAAGATGGGGCAATCTACTTCTGTAGTGATATTGCCTTGGGGTCGCTATGAGTTGGGTCCTACTCGAGGGCACATAACAACAACAACGATTCCCCCAGGCTTGCCTGCTGTGAGTTTGGATGGTTTTATTGGAATAAATCTCTTTTTGGTATAATTTCTTTTCTTTACCACAGCCCGAAAATGGCACAGAAATGGCATAAAGAAACCACGATCACAGCGATATGAATCTCTTAAGGGGGTGAGTATGTGCACTGAATCACATGGAAGTTTGTCCCATGTTAGCACTATTTGCAGTCAGGGCCTTTCATGGTTACCTTTTCCAACATCACCACCTGCCTAAAGCACCTAAGTTGTCCCTCATCTTACTGGCCTGCCACAATTCCTTTCTCTGCCCAGCTAGTTTTTGCCTGTATATCAAATCCTGCCAGACTCAAAGCTTTCCCTGGCTGCCTCCACGCCCACATATAACCCTTGGTTTGTCTGGTCATCCCCTTTGCTCAGGTAGGGCACTTGAAGAGGCAACTTTGTTTGTATGTGGCACCTGGTACTTAGTGGGCACCTGTGAGCCTTTCATTCCATGTTAACCAGCCTTAATGACTGTAGTCTGGCCCAGTACTGTGTTTAGGGGCAGCTCTGCTGCCTCTGCCAGGGGGTTCTAAGAATTAGCTAAGAAAGGTGAGGGTTTGGGTGAAGAGAACTGAGTCCTGTCCCTAGACTTCTGCCCTGTACCCTTGCTTTCTATCTGTGGGGTGAATCACTAAACCTCTTAGCTTCAGCTTTCCCCTCTTGGTCTCTTATTTCCTCTGCTGTGAATCTCAAGCCAGTTGTAGCAAGCTTAGTATTTAACTGACACTTTCCTCTAAAGAAAACTCAGCCAAAGCCCTACTGTAGGAACTTGGAGCCCTGCTGACCAAGTAGAGAAGGCAGCCATTATTTGTTTGTTCTGCATTTGCATGTGACTGGTAACTTTTTGAAGATGTGGGGATGCAGCCCTGAAAATTTGGTCTTTGTGGACTACATTAGCAGCCTGAAGTTTTGACTTCAAGGGGTGGTCTTTGTATTTCAGTATTTAATGGAGAGTCCCAATCAGATGTTGCCTGGGCCTGATATTCTTGTGGGGCACCACAGACTGCACTTTACAACTATTGGCACCTTTCCTGTCTTCCAGGTGGATCCCAAGTTCCTGAGGAACATGCGCTTTGCCAAGAAGCACAATAAGAAGGGCCTGAAGAAGATGCAGGCCAACAATGCCAAGGCCATGGATGCACGTGCTGAGGCTATCAAGGCTCTTGTAAAGCCCAAGGAGGTCAAGCCCAAGATCCCAAGGGGTGTCAACCGCAAGCTCAGTCGACTTGCCTACATTGCCCATCCCAAGCTTGGGAAGCGTGCTCGGGCCCGTATTGCCAAGGGTCTCAGGCTTTGCCGGCCAAAGTCCAAAGCCAAGGCTCAAAGTAAGGCTGAAGCTCCAGCCAAGGCCTCAACTCAAGTTCCAGCTCCGGGTCAGGCTGCCAAAGGTGCCCAGGCCCCCAAAGGTGCCCAGGCCCCCACCAAGGTTCCGGAGTAGAGTTCTCCATCTGAGGACAGATAGACTGGTGTGACCCCCTGGGCTGCTATCTGCATGGGGCTGGTGTCCTCCTGTGCTATTTGTATAAATAAACCTGAGGCAGGAGCTGCTTTCAATCTGTGGGGCTGGGGGTGAGGAGGAGTAGTGCTTCCATTTGTGTGGGGAGAGGAGTTTTGCTCTAAATGGATGATGGGATGTGGGTGAGTGGGAGGGCTTTGGAGTGAAGAGGGGGAACCTAATGAGAAATGGGGCCTTTGGAGAGTTGGGCCACAGCTTGCCTAGGCAGGCTGCTGAAAAAAGGGAGAAATCTCAGATGCCCTTGTTAAGTCTCCAAGTGTCCCCAGAGGGAAGTGGGAAGGACCTACTGAAGCATTCTGTACTCTGGCCTGAGGACATCTAGACTTAGGCTGTTCCTAGTGTACCTGACCAGGGTCCACTCTCAGGGACCCTAATGGCAGAGTAGTGGTGCCATTGCCTTTCTTGGATGAATAGGCCAGAGGCCAGGAGACACCCTCCTGGTGCCTTCATGAAACATTGTTCAGGAGAGGTCACTTGTTGTGCCTCCTTGCCCAGCTGCTTCATCTGTAGAGCCTTGGTCCTGAGCAACTAGTGAGCGGATGGTGAAGTAATAGGTATTTGTGGAGGCTCCCTGTAGCTGAACCTAGTGGAGCACTGTTCCTGGTTACAGTTAATCTTCATAAGCAGCCTTTGAGTATAATGGTCATGAGATTTGTAATCCAAACTTGGTCACTTCGGAAACTTAAAAGGAGTGCCAGGACAACAGGCAATCCCTTGTGTATCTTCCCCTTACCTCTGAAGTAGCTATTGATATTTGCATTTTACAGGTGAGAAAACCTGTTCAAGATCATTGAACTAGTAAGGGATGGAGGTAGCATTTAAACCCAGGCAGTTAACATGGGGCCCCAGTAAATTTAATTTGCCCAATAAGGGCTGAAGCTCAGTCCTGCTAGCTCTTGACTGTGAGCCTGGTACCCCCCTATGGATGGCCAAAATGCCCTTCCCCAAGGAGCCAGATGGGAGATGAAGTTTTGACAGCTGGCTTTGTACCCTGGACCCTTGTCTTCAGCAGCCAGAGGGGAAGGGTTTCCACAGCCAGGTCTGCAGCTGGTGCCTTGGACAGGGAGCAGGAAGGCTCTTCCCCAGTCATCCTGCCCTGAGGGAGGAATGGTGGTCCCTTTATGGACCTCCAGTGTGGTCAGACCCTAATCTCAGGAGACCCAAGGTAGTCAAAGGCTTCAACTAGTTTTGCTAACAGCCATGACCCTCAGCTTCTTCCAGCTTCCACATGAAGTCTGTCCTATACAAAGGAAGGCGCTCAAGTCCCCAGTTAGAAATGTTTGAGTCTCAGTTTCCATTCCATCATCTCCAGGCTATGTAACCTTGGGCTAGTTACTGTCCCTAGCTGAGCTTCAGTTGTTCTGTAATGTGGGGCTTATAATGGCACCTACATTGCATGTGAGAGTTCAGTGAAGGTGGAGCCAGTGAAAGGCCAGGCTCCTTGTTAGAACTCTAGGCAGAGGTGGCAATTAGTATACTATGAGTACAGGTTTAGTACTATGAGTACAGGCCTCAGATGGAGGCTCAGGACTTCCTCTGACCAAGACAAGGAACTTGAAAAGCTGGCCCTGCAGGCCCTACTTGCCCCTTGCTCATGAAGGTCAGGACCAGATTAGACCAGATAAACAAGAGGAGCAGGCTCAGCTGGGCCACAGCTGCCTGGGGGCCTAGAAAGGCCAGCCAACTGAAGCCCAACTCCTGAGCCTTTCTGTACATACTGACCCAGGACTCCTGGCCAGAACACTAGGGACCCTGATAAACTGACCCAGGGTCCCAGCCCCTCTGTGACCCCTGCTCCCAACACCAGAGCAGGGACCACACTTTCCTTTTTGGGTTTGACAAATGCCAACTGTTATGCCTTGCAAGCTGCCCCTCTGCCTTACTGGGTCCTTTTGTTTCAGGATGCCAAAGGTGCCCCTGAAAGCCAGAAGTGGCTCCCTAAGGTCCTTGTCTTGGTACCCCTCACAAGTCAAATGGTATCATGGCCATTGAGAGCAGCAGTGTGGGCCCTTGTGTCTGGGTGGTACTAGATAGGAGTGCTGGCTGGGGCACAGAGCTGGACTCGTCTTCCTCATTTGTGAAATGGGGGTGATAAGCACCATTTCCCCAGAGAAGCAAATGTTCTCTGTTAATACGTCAAAGGCGGCTCTTGTCTACATACTGACTTTATTGTTGGGTGGGGGAAAAATGAGTCTTTGGAACCAGACTTTATAGTCTGGGTGGAAGCTCTGGGGGTAAAGGTAGGGAACATGGGGCTCAGCTATCACAGGGCAGGGCAGGGATGCTGGCCAGGGCAGGCAGCAGGCGGGTGTATATGTCAACCCCACGGAGGAACACGGCCTCGTGCAGCCGTTCATCATGGTCGTGCAGCAGCACAGGTGTGTGGTTGATGGGTGAAAAGCCCAGTGCTGGAACCCCCACCTGCAAGGGGGGAAGGAGGAGCCATCAGGGCGAAGTCTGGCATCCAGGCTCACCCTACTGCTCATCCCACTGCCATGTGAGGTGCTCACTGCACGGAGATAGCGGCTGTCAGTGGCAGCAGGGAAGATCTGGGGCTCCAAAGTGAGGTTCCTGCAGGGAACAGAATCTGGTGAATGGGGAAAAGGAAAAGGCGAGGCAAGGAGTGAAGGGGCAAAGGAGAGTGAGAGGAAAGGGGAGAGATGGGCACAAAACTGGAGCTGGCTGTATGAAGAGGGGAAGGGCACAGGCTGGTCGGTGTGCTCACATGTCCTTGAAGACTCTGCTAAACGCTTCCCACCAGGGATCTGAGTTGTCAGTACGTGTCACCTGGGGTGACGTCCATTTCTGGGTGAAGGGGAAAGATGGCAGGATCAGGACAGAGACGAGCATCTTGCCCTGTTCCTCACAATGGGATATGCCTGACATAGGGCACGTGCTCAACCCCACCCACACACCCTCACAGACATCCATCTAGTCAGCCAGGCCAGCATAGGCCCTCTTTCAGTCCCCTAAAAGCTCCAGACCTCTAACCATCCTATGCTTTCCATCTATTTATTTCCTGTCCACCTTTCAGATCATAGCCCAAGTGCCTCTTCCTTAAGACAGCTCTCCTGACTTGTCAGGCCAAAATACCCCCATCATAAGCTCTCAAGACTGTGGGGTCTCATCTTTTCCTATGCCATGTGTATTCATTGTAATACTACTTTTGTAACTATTTGATTTATGCCTGTCTCCCCACATCAGGCTGTAAGAATCATGAGAGGAAGAACTGTATCCAATTTTTCTACCCATAGTACTCCCCAGCACCCCACCCAACAGTGGCCCTTCACAACTAGTAATGCTTGTTGGGTGAATAAAATGTGTCTCTCATAGCTAAAGAAATGCCCAGATGTGCAGACACACCAAGCACACATTCCTACAGTGTCACACACATGGTGAGCCCAACCTGAGCTCCTAGAAGTCCCCTATCCCAGGTCCTAAGTTGATACCTGAGCAAACTCGAAGGTGACCCCCTCACCAGCTGCCTGGCACCAGCCCTGGAGCTGCTCCTCGAAGGCCTAAGAGAAGGGGAATGAGCTGAGCTGACCCCCTAGGCTCTCCTTGAGCCTCTAGGATGGGGTTGAGGACTAGGGATCACTCTTCCAAACCCAAGTGGAGGTGGCACCTTCAGGTCCACATCAGGTGCCACACGGAAGTCAAAGCTGGCACTCATGGTGGCAGGTACCACATTATAGGCCACACCACCCTCTAGCTTAGTCAGGTTCACAGAAGTCACGGCCCCCAGCGTCAAATGGGGATTTGATTGCAGCCTGTAGTGGGGGTGGGGGTGGGGCAACAAGGAGCAAGAGTAGAAGGTGGCTCAGCCCCTCCTCTCCTGCACAGCCTCCCACAGCCGCCTTTCCCAGGCTGCTTTACCTCTGCCTCTCCTTCTCCCGAAAGGCCAGGATCGAGCTCACAACGTTGTGCTGGGAGAATATGAGATGAAATGTGAGAGAAAAAAAAAAAAAAAACACTGCCATCCAGTCAAGCCCAGAGTAGAACTGCCACAGAGGGTTTCTAAGGCCATAATCTTCAGGGAAGCAGAGTGCCTCATCTCTGTCCCGCAGAGTAGGTTCAAAGTGCTGACCTTTTCATAAGCAGCCCAATGCTTTAACCATAGTGCCATCAGAGCTCCTGGTCCCAAGATAGAGCCTCCCAAACCTCCAGACTCCCTTCCCCATATGCCACACACCAGCTTCTCTGCTGCTGTGTCCTCAATGAAGCGCGAACCGTGACCAGGCTTCCCAGTACTTGTGATCCGCACCCCTGGGAAGATGCAAGAGGGGATCTTTAGCATGGGAGGGGCTGGAAAGACAGGGTGGCCCTGGGGTGGGCCAGGGTCTTTTCCTCATCCCAAGCTCCCCTGGAAGGGCCCTTTCCCCCTCAAAGCCCATGGCACAGAGCTGGTTTCTGCCCATAGTCAGAGCCTGCCCTCAGAGAAGCTCTTGGTCAAAGAAACAGGAAAGAGACAGCAGCCCTGGAATCAAGGTCTACTCAGGCCCCAACTTGCTGTGTGACTCTTGACAGGTCCTTGCCTTCTCTGGCCTAATCTCCCATCTGTACAGTGAACACCTCCCCCTAACCCGTGCCCATACTCACACCAAGGGCTCCGCTCACTGTAAAAGACAGTGAAGGCGTCAGTGGGGTTTGCCAGGCCTGAAAGAGGGATGGAGAGTCACAGTGAAGTGGCCCAGCCCCCACTAGCAGCCTCCCTATCTCTTCCTTCAGCGCTGAACACACTGCCACCTACTCACCCTCATCCAAGGCGAAGCCAGCCTTCAAGGCCTGAAATTCAGGCTGTTGCACAAACAGCTCCATGCCTTGGTGACCCCCAATCTCCTCATCTAGAAAGATTCATGAGATGAGGGCACCCCCCCACTCCCAGTATACCCTCCTCCTCTCAGCAGGTGCCTGTACCTGGCACAAAGATCATACGTGCTACTCCTACCTGGCATAAAGATCATACGTGCTACTCCTACCTGGCACAAAGGTCATATGAATAGTTCTGGGGAAACGGTGGCCCTCAGCCTTCAGCCTTCTCACAGCCTCCAGATACCTGAGGGGACAGTGAGAGGGACACAGAGCCAGGTGCTGGAGGAGTCAGGAAGGCCAGGCAGGGCTGGCAAACTGGAGCCTTGGGTCCTGGACCCAGCTCTGGCACAGTCTGGCAGGGGACTCTGGTAAGTCCCTGCCCCTCTCTGGGCCTTAGTATCCCCATCCATGCAATGGTCACAGGAGTAACTTCTGTCTACAGTAAAGGGTCAAGATGTTCTTTGGCCTTGGGATTCTCCAACTATTCCTCAGGCCTTGGGTCAATACATTGGGGTTGTAGGGATATTGTGGGTGACTGGGAACAGAGGACACTCACTGAATGCTGACACATTTCATGTCCTGGGCACCCCTGGCGTAGATGTAGCCCTCAGCATCCTTGAAGGCCTCAAATGGGTCATGACTCCAGTGCTCCTGGATTCAGGGATGGGAAGAGAGACCCAAGCACCAAATTTAGTGTCATTAATCTACTCTGGCCAACTGTGGCCCTGCCCTAGGAGCCCACCATTAAGTTGAGGTGATAAGCAGGGGGGTAGGGGAATAAAGGACCAAAGAGGGCAGATGACTGCCACCCCCATCTCTGCCTCTTCCATCCTGACTCTGGGCATTGAATCATTGTTGGACAAAGGCTCTGAAGTGGAGTAATGCCGCATGAATGTGGAGAGTCGGCACCACGACCAGTACAGGCAGTCCCCAGGTTATGAATGAGATCAGTTCTCAATAGTGTCTTTAAGTCTAATTTGTAGGTAAGTCAGAACAGTGGTTATGGTTCTTATTTAGCCTTACTTTAGAACAAGAAAGGAGCTCGGGTCAAGAAAGGAGCTCGGGTGGTACAGTTCCTAATAAAGCATTTGACTGCTAACCATAAGGTTCCAGCCACTCCATGGAAGGAAAATGGGACAATCTACTTCCGTGAAGATTTACTGACTTGGAAACCCAATGGCAGTCACTACAAGTTGGGATCTACTCAATGGCAGTGAGTTTGGTTTGAGTTAGCACAAGCAAAGCATGAAGCCTTTTCAATGATTTAAACACTGTACATGCAGCAAGTGAAGGTGATTGTGAGGAAGGTTTGTTGAGAGTAGGAGTTGGTTCAATTGTTTCAAAGTGAAGGCACATTTATATAACATTAAAGGGCAAGTATGAATTGTCTGTAAGTTGGACATGTTCATAACCCAGGGACTTATCATAAGGCTTTCCTCAAAGTTCCCTGAGGCTAGGCAGCCATCTCAGTGTTCAGGGCCTGCACACTCCCCCACCCTCCACATACACACCTTGAAGACAGGCACCACATCAGTATGGGAATTGAGCAAGAGGGAGGAGAGCGTGGGGTTGGTACCTGGCCAGGTCAGCACAGTAACCACACGGCCAGGTGCCACCTGGAGGGGATGAGGAGGGGGAATGGTTAGTGCAGGGGGAAGAGGACCAGAGCCCCATCTCTCCTTACTCAGGACCCCAGGCTCACCTCCACTTTCTGACAGTCCAGGCCCAGCTGATGAGCTCTCTCCTCAAGGAAAGCCACAGCAGCCCCTGGTGGCACAGAGAGTCTTAGAGGGGATGGGGGCTGCTTCTGCTCACAGCCCCCACCAGCTCAGGCACAGCTGAGAGGGGGGAATAGACCCAGAGCTAGACTGCTGCCTCCTCAACACAATTCCACACTTCTCAAAGACATTTGCATTTCTGTCCCCAAGGACGATTTTTTTTTTTGGCCAGCTAGTGATCCATTAAGTCCCCGGGTGGTGTAAATGGTTTGTCTTTGGCTGCTAGGCTAACCCACCCAGCCATACTGCAGAAGAAAAAGGCCTAAAAGACCTGGAGACTTGCTTCTGAAAGATTACAGCCTTGGAAACTCTATGGAGCAGTTTTACCCTGCACACATGGGATTGCCATGATTCAGAATCAACTCAGTGGCAAAGGGTTTAGTGACCCTCTGTGGAAGAGCTGGAAGCAGGTGAAAGATGGGGACACTGGCACAGAGACATAAAGAGATTCACTCAGTGTCTCCCAGCTGGAAAATCCAGAGCAGGGATTTGGACCTACATACAAAATTCCCAGCCACCTCTGAGGTCTGTGGTTTTTGTCTAGTCCCAGTAGACTTTTGGGGGCCTCTCCTTCCCTTGTTCTGCCTCAGTCTCCCCACGTGAGGAACGAGGTGAAGTTATTCCTTAACTAGCTGCTAGGATTAACTTCTGGAATAGCACAGCCTCTGGGGAATGGGTTCCTTTACAGCTTGGAGAAACTGTTAACCTAGGGAGTAGCCAGAGGAGTTGAGGAGACAGTTGGGGCAGCCTTCGGAACTCAACTGGGTAACAGGTTGGAGACAGGTTTAGAGCACAGTTTTCATCTGGTAGGACGCCCATGGGAGGCCCAGAAATCTTGGCATTCTTACCATAGTCAGGCTCGGGCTGGACCGTGTGGATGCGCAGGTACTGGCGGAAGAGAGTCACGGATGGGTGCTCGCCCTCCGGACCCTTGCTGGCCATGGTGCTGTGCCTGGAGAACTGGGGACAGAGGGAGTGCCTGACGACCCTCTCCCAGCCCCCTCTCCCAGGCGAGGCCAGTCCATCTGCACATGACTCCCCTCCCCAGGGCGAGTTTCTCTGTACTTCCCACAGGCTAAGAGAAGGAAGGTTGGGCAATCCTACTTCCGTAGTGATACTGCCTCGGAAACCCAAGGAGGGGTCGCTATGAGTCGGGGCCGACTCGACGGCAAACAACAACAAGAGCACCCTAAAAAGGAACTGTAGTCTCCCCCAGTTACAGAGCACCTCATTCTGTTCCAGGAGCTGTACTGACCGTTTTCAACACATTTCCTCATTTAATCTCCCAAAGAGCCCCCACGAAGTTCCTGCCTCTGCCCACTTTACACAGGAGAAAGCTGAGGCTTAGAACGCTTTCGGGACACAGTAACTGAGCCAGGTTTGAGCCTAGGCATTCACTTCTCTACCCTCCTCAAAACATTTCTCCCAATTTCCCGGATCTCACTCCAGGGAGCGCGATTCCTCTACCTCTTTCCAGGGTTCCCCACTTCGCTCTGTCCTGGTCTTGAGCCCGCACTCGCTTCTCAGAGCCCACCCCGGACTGTGACCCGGACTCAGGATACTGCGAAGTGCCGAGGTCAGAACCGCCCCCGGCCCGCCCACCACGTGGCTGGATCCGCGGCGTGAGGCGGGGAACGAGGATTGAGGGTAAGGGCCGTTCCCGTTCCAGCGGCCGAGTCAGCACAGGTTCCCACGTTCCAGACACCTCCCGCCCCAGGCTCCGGCGGCCGGGGTTTACTAGAGGATCAGATTCTCAATCCGGCCACGTGGAAGCAGCGCCGCGGGCAGCCCCGCCCCTCTCAGGTTCTGCCTTTGGGTGGGGCAGCGAGTTGACCGGCCCCGCCCCCAGAAGACTCCTTCCCTTGCAGGATAGGGCGGGTAGAGAAGTCTGCGGACGCTGACGCTGCATGTCGCAGCAGCCCTCTTGGGCCGCTTTTCGCTCTGAAGAGCCATCATTGCAAAGCCCTACCCGAGCAGCCCGTGCCTGCTCCCTTCCTTCTGACGATCTCCTACCGTTATCCCTCTGGGGTGAGGTTATTGATGGACGTCTCTCTTCAATACTGAGCTCCAAGAGGCAGGTCCACGTACCCGTAGGCTTACTGCCTCCAGCCTGGCACAGTGCTGGCGCTCGGACAACGTTCCAGGAATGAAAAATACATGGACGGATAGGAGCATGTGTGACTATATGTGTGATCGTGTTGTGTGGGTAAACTACGTTATCAGTGGGTATGATGTGTCAGATGATGGGTGTGCCAGTGCCTATGTGACAGGGGGTATCACGGTGAGGATGTCATCGGAACGCTGTGTGAGTGACAGTGAATGCAAGAGGTGGGAAAACAGCATGTGTGGCACAGCTTACTCTGCCTGACCCTGTGCCAGGCTTTCTGGCTCTTCAGCAGTCACTGGAGAAGGGGATAAACAGAGCCACAGGTGTCCCGTTGGCCAGCCCATCTGCGAGCCTGGCTGCCTTTGTACCCCCAGACAGTTCTGCCCTCTGCTGTTGAGTCAGGTTGGAAGGAGCGGGGCTGGAAGATTTCAAATTCTGGGCGCAGAGGAGGCAGGCTGTGAAGGTCAAAGAGGGTTTCATCCCAACCCTCCTGGAATTTAAGTCTGGACTTCTCACCCACACACCCAGGGGATAAGCAGGCTTGGTGGTTCAACTCACAATGTTGTTAATTCTTAAACCACATCCCTACCCCCACACCTCTACATACCCTCCTTCCTTCAGCCAAAGGTCTTGTGTTCCTGAATCACTTAGCTCTGCTGCCCAGACCCTTGATTTTTCACCATTCCCAGTGGCCAGAAAGCATCAGTAACACCCACCTCTATCTCCCAGCTCTGTATGGCCAAGTGCTCCACCCACCCAGTCTCATTCAATCATATAACCACTCTCTGAGCTAGGTGCTACCATCGGGCCCATTTTACAGATTAGGAAACTGAGGCATGAAGTGGTAAGGGCACACAGCTAAGAAGTGGCCCATGATCTTAGTCACCCACGTACCTGAAGCATCCTTTCCATTTCCCAGTCCCAAATAGTGCCAGACTTGCCTCCCACTCCCACCCCACACACAGCATACCAGGACAACGGGGCTTATCACTCCTCAGGCAAGACAAACACACTTTTTTTATTGTGCCCGTAAAATGCAATGAGAGGTCCTGACTGGGCTTGGCACTCTGGTCTGTGCCCTGGAATCCCAGGGATTGCCTCCTTAGTGGTGGTGGTGGTGGGGTAGGGGGGCTAGTCCAGATCCTCCACACTGAGGCCCAGGCTAGGGCCCAGGCAGTTGGTGAGTTCAAGGCAGACGGTCAAGGAAGGCAAGGAGGACGAGGTGGAAGTCTTGTGGCTTGTGGAGGTAGCAGGCATGGCCTGCATCGCGCAGCTTCACTATGGAGTGATTGGGCAGGTGACGGAGCTGTCGCAGTGACTCCCGTGCCAAGATGTGATCCAGCTCCCCATACAAGATGAGGGTCGGGGTCTGCAGGGTGGGACAAGGGGCTATAACCCTGGGGCCTGATGGGCCCAAGCCACCTCCTGAATCCCAAGCCACCTCCTGGGAACGCTTCCAAACACCCGCCTCTTCCATCCAAGATCCGTGATAGGCCATGTCTCCTCCAAGTTTGACTTGAACCCTACCCCTTTCCATGACCCAAGCCAGAGACAAGGAGCCAGGACCTTTGGGGATCATCCTCCCAGTACCTTCACTGCCCAGAACTGCTCCTGGGTGTAATTCTGGGTGGAGGTGGGTGCGATGGGCACGAATCCATGCAGTTGGTGGTGACCTCGCATCAGGAAGGGCAAGGCATAGTGGCCACTCAGTGAGGGGCTCACCAACACAGCATTGTGCACCTCCAGGTCCTGCAGCACACGCTGCAGCAGCTCTGCTCGCCCTGCCTCTGTCCCGGCCTCCTCCGAAGGTGCTGAATTCCCAAAACCTGGGGACAGCAGCAGGTACCAGCTGAGGGAGGCTGGAAAAGGGCCCATGACTTCCTCCCTACCACAGCAGGAGAGACAGGTGTGGACCAGTGGCACATGGTATATGCTACCCCAAACTTTCCAGAAGCTATTTTTTGTAATGTGATAAATCTGCTAGAAAAACAAATTTTTCATTCATCATATTGGCAAAACTAAGAAGACTGATGATACCCAGTGCTCGGGAAGATGTGGGAAAATGGGCATTTTCATAAATCAATGATGGGAGAAATCTGTAGAGCCTTTTTGAAGGATAAGGAAAATATCTGTCAGAATTTAAAAATGAGTGTCCTTCAAATTTTTTTTTAAATGTATCAATGTATTTTTTTTTTTTGTAGTATTCCCTCCCCTTCCTTCCTGTCCTTCAAATATTATATGATCACCAAAAAAAAAAAAAAAACAAAAAACCACAACTCACTGCCATCAAGTCAATTCCAACTCATAGCGACTCCTTTTGGGTTTCCAAGGTGGTAAATCTTTATGGAAGTAGATTGCCCAGTATTCCTTCCATGGAGTGGCTGGTGGGTTTGAACCACCAACCTTCTGGTTAACAGTCAACTGCCTTAGGCACTATGCCACCAGAGCTCCTTTATATGATCACACTTATGTGAAATATATAGAACAGGAAAATGCATACAGCAGAAAGTAGATTAATGGTTACTAGAGGTGAGGGGAAAGGGGTCTTGGCTGAAAGCAAATACCAAAAAGATGTTTACCTGTGTTTTATTGACTATGAAAGGCATTTGGATGTGGATCATAACAGGCTTATGGATAACACTGCAAAGAATGGGAATTCCAGAACACAATTGTGCTCATCATTAGTACACAGACTAAGAGGCAATCGTTCGAGCAGAACAAGGGGATACTGCATGGTTTAAAATCAGGAAAGGTGTACATCAGGGTTGTATCCTTTCACCATACTTATTCAATTTGTATGCTGAGCAAATAATCCAAGAAGCCAGACAATACAAAGAAGAATGAGGCATCAGGAGTGGAGGGAGACTCATTAATAATCTGCAATATGCAGATGACACAACCTTGCTTGCTGAAAGTGAAGAAGACTTGAAGCACTTACTGATGAAAATCAAAGACTTCAGCCTTCAGTATGGATTACACCTCAACACAAAGAAAGCAAAAATCCTTACAACTAGATCAATAAGCAACATCGCAATAAATGGAGAAAAGACTGAAATTATTAAGGATTTCATTTTACTTGGATTCACAATCAATGCCCATGGAAGCTGCAGTCAAGAAATGCAATGATGTATCGCAGTGGACAAATCTGCTGCAAAAAACCTCTTTCAAGTGTTAAAGAGCAAATATGTCACTTTGAAGACTACAGTGTGCCTGACCAAAGCCATGGTATTTTCAATAGCCTCATATGCATGTGAAAGTTGGACAATGAATAAGGAAAATTTAAGAACTGATGTATTTGAATTGTGGTATAGGTGAAGAATACTGAATAAACCATAGACTGCCAGAAGAATGAACAAACCTGTCCTGGAAGAAGTGCAGCTGGAATGTTCCTTAGAAGCAAGAATAGCCAGACTTCACCCCTAGTACTTTGGTCATGTTGTCAGAAGGGACCATTCCCTGGAGAAGGATATCATGGTTGATAAAATAAAGGGTCAGCAAAAAAGGGGAAGACCTTTAATGAGATGGAGAGACACAGTGGCTGGGATGAAGGGCTCAAGCATAGCAACAATGTGAGGTTAGCACAGGACTGGGCAGTGTTTAGCTGTGTTGTACACAGGGCTGCTATGAGTCAGACTCGATGATGCCTAACAACCACCACCACTAGGGGAAGGGAGAAGGAGGCTTAGAGTTTTTGTTTTGGGGGATGAAAAGAGTTTTAGAAATAAATAATGGTGACAGGTGTACAAGATGGTGAATATAATTAATATCATGGGATTGTACACTTAGAAAGTTAAAATGGCAAATTTTATGTTACATATATTTAACCACAATAATTTTTTTTTAATGCAAAAAATAAGTGTGTCCTTTGAACCAACAATTGTTCTTTATAGCTATCCTACAGAAATTCTTTTTTTTTTTTTTTAATCTTATTCTGTTTCTTTATTGATAACAGTTTTAGGTTTTTGTTATTTACTTACATTAAATATATGCAGTGAGGACTACCTAATATCATTTGTTACTATGTCTCCAATTTGCTTCCTTGTTATTAGTGTGTTTCTTTTTTTAAATAATTTATTTTACTGTTGTTGAAAATATACACAGCAGAACATATTATCAATTCAACAATTTCTATGTGTATAATTCAGGACACTGATTACATTCTTCAAGTTCTGCAACCATTCCCATCCTCCTTTGCCAAATCGTTCCTCCCCCATTAACATCCACTCACTGCCCGCTAACTTCCTATCTAACATTTCCAGTTGTGGTTGTCAATTTGATCCCATACAGATAGTTCTTTAAAAGAGGACAAAGTTCAAGGCAGACATCCTTTACTAATTAAGCTGAAGACTTCAGGGGATCTTTTTGGTTTAAAGTTTAAAGATTATCTCACCTAGAGAAACTGTTGCCCATGTGCTCAAAGAAGCATGTCCAGAGACACTTCTGTATGTCACCCAAGGATTTCAACTAACATTGAAAACCCTAAAACAATCTACATATTCACCAGTCGAGGAGCAGTCAGATAAAACCTGTCTCTCCCTGCTATGACACATGCTGCAGAGTTAATGAGCGAGACAGAGGTTTGTAGAGACTGGCATGATCTATGAGACATGAAGTAGGAGAATTTGCAGATGGATTTGTCTAGTAGGACACTAATCATGTTTACAACCTCTACTATAGTCTGGCATACTGTCTGTATCTGTGTGTGTAGGAATGTTCAGAGGAGGGTCTGGAAGCCTCTCAAAGTGCTTAGAGAGGTTAAGACGGAGAGAAACATGGTGTGGGTCTTTTGGGAGCTTTGACGCGGTCTGATCTTTAAATGACATTTTTAATTTGTGATTTTGGTGAAAGTTTACAGAGTGTATCAATTTTCCATTCAACCATCCATACACATTCTGTTTTGTGACATTTACTGCCATCTTCACACTGTGAAGCATTCTTCCCATTTCCTCCCTAAATGATATTATTTTTTAATATCAAGAATGTTAGCAGGAAGCATTTACATAGTTAAAAAATAAAAAGCTACAAGGTTTGTCACAAAAAAGTACAGGGAGACCCACCCACGCCATCTCCTGGGAAGTGAATCACATTTCTCTTTGCTTGGTGACATGCACACATCCACACTGTAGCTTTCAAGGTAGGAAATAAAAAGACTTTTTCATGACAATAAAAGGACAAGCAGCAAAAAGTAAGTGGGATATCAAAAATTAAATACAGTAATTCTTCAAAGTCCTTTATCAACAAAGTGAAAAGAAAATTATTTGGGAACCATGTATCTGCTAAGGGCCTAACATCTAAAATCTATATAAAAACACTTCTTCAATAGAGCCTGGTGGAACCACTGAGACTATGGCCCCTAGCTGCCCTGCAGGTCCAGAATTGAAGCCACACCTGTGGTTTCCAGCCAAACAAAGTACAGGCATGTGAATTAAACATTTACCTCAAATAGACACACGCCCTGGAGAGAACAATCATGGGAGAAGGAAGGGCTGCTTATGCACAGGGAGACAGCTCAGGGCGCAGAAGAGTATGGAGGGATGGACACTGGGAAGAGGTAACTATGGGGAGGAAGAGGGAGGGGAGCTGTGGCATTGTAAATTTTGGTCAATGACATGAGACAAAGTATATTATGTGAACTGTTGTATGAAAAGTGAATTTACACTGTAAATCTTCACCCAAATCAAAATAAAATTAAAAAAAAAAAACCCACTTCTTCAACTTAACAATAAAAAGGCAAACAATCCAATAAAAAAATGGGCAAAGGATTTGAAGAGACATTTCACCAAAGAAGATATTCAAATAGCCAACAACACATGGAAATATGCCCAATGTCATTAGCCATTCTAAACCAAATCCAAACTCACTGCCATTGAGTCAATTCCTTCTCAAAGACACCCCCCGCTGGGTTTCCAAGACTAAATCTTTATAGAAGCAGACTGCCCCATTGATGCAAATCAAAACCACAAACATATACTGCCTCATCCCCATTAGCATGGAAATGATCAAAACATAGGAAACAGACGTTGGTGAGGTTGTGGAGAGACTGGAAACCCTCAGAGGGAATGTTAAATGGTACAGATGCTACGGAAAAAAGTTTGTTGGTTCCTGAAAAAGCTGAACACAGAACTACCATATGACCCATCAATCCCAATCCTAGGTATATACCCAGAAATGAAAGCAGGAACACAAACAGAAACCTATACACCAATGATCATTATAGCACTTTTCATAATAGCCAAAAGGTGGAAACAACTGTTATACACACACAATGGAGTATCACACAGCCATAAAGAGAAATGAAGTCCTGATGCGTGCCACTACATGGATCAACCTTGAAAACATCATGCCGCGTGAAGTAAGTCAGTCACAACAGGACAAATATTTTATGATCTTCCCTTACATGAAATAAGCAAATATACAAAAGCCAAAGATTATTAGTGGTTACTAGGAGTAAGGGGAGAGAGGGAGTTTCTGCTTAGGGGATAGTGAGTTTAAGTTAATGGTGGTGCAGTGATTTGGAAAAGGACATTGAAAATGGACATTGTAGGATTTAATTAGTGTCACTGAATTACACGTGTGGAAACCAAATTGGTGAATGTTTTTTTGATGTGTATATTTTCACCACAATTAAAAAAAAAACACACAAAACACAAACCTTTTTGTAGTGGTATCATCTTGTGTTGTGACCTGTCACTGCTTATCCAGACATTGGGATCCAGACGGCCACCCTCACACTCCTTAGAGCTTTCCTACCCCCAAACCTCCCATCTGGGAAGCTGTTCCCTTCTTCCTGCTGCACCCTGGCTCCCTGAACTCAGAGCAGGGGGTGGTACTCACCTGGGAGGTCAAGTGCCACAGCCCGGTAGCCTCTCTGTGACAGCAGCTGCAGTGTGCCCAGCTGCTCCCATGTGTGGGAGTTAAAGGCCTTTCCATGGAGCAGTACCACCTCCACCCTGTGGGCAGACGGGGAATGTGCATCCTGAGGGCCTGGAGTAGACCACCCTTTCTTCTTCAGAGGCTTTTCCCACTACCCTCCCAGGCCCTGAGTAGAGCTGGAGTCCTACACAGGTACCAGTCCCTCCACTGCACCTTGGGGTCAGCACCCACCTGCGTGCCTGGTGGAGCGGAAGTACCTCACGGTAAAAGATGCGGGAGTTGCCAGGGGTGAGACCAGCCAGGATTGTGACATTAGGGTCTCCCCAGACCCAGGAGGTCTGCTCAGGGGGACCAGGCAGCCCCACATACAGCAGCAGCATGAACAACAGGCCCAGGCCCAGGCCCAGCAGGGCCACCTGGGACCGGCTCATGGAGGTCTGTACCACAGTCTGGAGGAAGAGAGGAGAGGGAGAAGAGGCTTGGGCTGAGCCTCCACGAGGCCTCCGGACCCCACCCCAAAGCCCCATTTAAAAGCACCCAGTGGAGGCATAGTTCCAGTTCCTGCCCCTTCCCTTACTCTGAGCAAGAGTCTAGGAGTTCACACTCCACATGCCAGTGAAGGGCTCAGATGCTCAGCAGTGAGAAGGTGCTGAGATGTCTCCTAGCACACAGCGTAGAACTGCCCCATAAGGCTTCCCAGGCTGTAAATCTTTGTGGAAGCAGACTGCCTCATCTTTCTCTCATGGAGCAGCTGGTGGGTTCAAATTGCTGTTTTTGGTAAGCAGCTGAATGCCTTAGCCACTGCATCATCAGAACTCCTTCCTTTTACCTACAAACCAAAAAAAACCAAACTCACTGCCATCAAGTCGAATCCGACTCATAGCGACCCGTCTTTGGGTTTCCAAGGCAGCATCACTACGGTAGGAGATTGCCCAATCTTCCTTCTGAGGAGTGGCTAGTGGATTTGAACAGCCAGCTTTCTGAAAAGTTAGCAGTCAAATGCCTTAGGCCCTATGCCACCAGAGCTCCTCTTTCACATACAAGGACTCACAAGTCCTCACAGGAGCACTGGGAAGCAGGTATGATTACAGGTGTCTTACAGATAACGAAACAGAGGCAATTATTTTGCCCAAAGTGGAGACTTTGCTTGCCAAGGAGGAAATCAGGGGCTGGAGTATGATGGACAAATTGGAGCCTTGCTGCTGGACAGAGCACTGCCAAAGAAGAGACCATGGGCAAAGGGACATCCCCCTGAAGGAGTGTTTGGGAAGTGGTTGTTTTTATCATACTGTATATCATATTGCCAAAATCAGAATATGTTTTACAGCCAATGGAAATATGTAATGCTCTTCCCCAAATACTATTAAATGGGAGAGGTCTCATGGACACTGCTGGATAGAAGAAATGTTGAGGCATGAGTGGGTGTGGGGCCAGGAATGGGCATGGTACCAAGAGAAATGGAAAGAGCAGCTGCAAAGCTGAAGCAATGTGCCCCCCCTACAAAGCTTCATGCCAAATGATCTGCTTCACAGAGTCCTTCAGTCCTGGGTCCTTTGCCAATTGAGAGGACAGGCCTCAGGACCCAGGACCCAGACAGGGCAGGGAGCCCTGGCTTTGAGACTTGACTCTACCACTTCCTGGCTATGAGTCTTTAATTTGTCAGTAAAACAGGGAGAAGGATAACCCCATGACTCTTTTCTTAAGCCTCCTGTGAGATTTCAATGCGACAATGGACTGACCCCAGGCCTGTCCCTGTTATCATTTCTTGGACCTAAGATGACCACTCTTGCCTTATTCTTGGATACTGGTAAACACATTTTCACTGAAGTGCCAATTGGGTGCCAGCCCTTATCTAGGAGCTGGAGCTGGAGACTGGAAAATCGCCATCTCAGGCCCCATCCACTTCTCCAGGGCACTTTGGGGATGTTTCCCTGCCACCCCTTCCACCCCCACTCCCTCACCCCTGCTGAGGTGCAAAGGCAGTAGCAGCCCTCTGATGCTGATGGAGAACCAGAAGCTGTGAGGAGGATGAGCCTGCTCCTCTCCCAGGAACAGCCTCAGATGCACACTTCCAATGGCACTAACCCAAGTTCCCACCAGGCCCAACATCCCCATGGACCTCCCCTAGCCAGTATCACCCCAGTGCCTGTCCCAGGCTCTGGATGCTGCCTTGGCAACTCAGGCTGTGGCAACACTAGACAACCCCAGAAGCCTGAATCCCTGCAGTTGGCAGTCTGGTTTGTAGTATAGACCTGTGCCTGGGTAGACCCTAGGCACCTACATCGACAATGACACACAGGTGTACACACGCACACACAGGCATCAAGTCTGCACCCACGCGCTTTTCTTTTGCACAAGCTCTTCCCTACATGTACATGCAGATCCCCCACACACGCAATGACCCGTTTGCATACATACACAGCGTGAAAATCACATGCATGTCCCCCACACAAATACACACAGGGTCAGGCATCAGGAAGGCAGACAGAAAAATCACACGCAGACCCTCAAAAATACTCAGACACAGGCATAAACACAACCCTCAAATTACACATGCATGCACAGAAACGCACATATGCACAGGGTGACAGATCCTCCAAAACACACAGACACACTGGTAGATATGCACATAAAAAAACCACAGAAATACAAAGATATACACAGACACACGCAGGCAGAGAGATGTACGAACACATCCCCCCAACATAAGAACACAGAAACATACAGACATATCACATAGACACACGCACACCCAGATGCACAAGAGCACTCGAGGACATAGCGCAAGAAAACAAGCGCACTCGCCGCGCTAGCGCCAACAGCTCCAGCCGGACTCCGTTGCAGGCCACAGGGGCAAGGGGCGGAGCAAAGATGGCCCGCCTCCGGGCACCCTGCGGCTTCTCTCCCGGGGACACTCACCGGGCCGACCGGAATGACCGAGCCTGCCATCGCGGAGTGGGCCCCGCCCACGCGGAACCAGCAGCCAAACAGCGCCGCGACCATGGTGCCGCCTTCGCGGCTCTAGAGGTGCGGCGGGCAAAGCGCCGCCAAGCGCAAGACCAGGGAGGCGCGCTTGCGCAGTCGGCCAGTCGCAGGCCCAGAGCCTAGTTACCAAGTAACTGGGGCGGAGAGGGAACAGGGGGCGGTGCCCCAAAGTACAGAGGCCCGCCCCGGTTCAGATTTTCCGGACCATTCTCGGCCTAAGAGCCAGAGCAGAGCCATCAGGCATCTTCCTTCCAGCTAGTCTTCACCCTTACCCATATCACGCTATCTGGAAGTCTCAGTTCCCTCGTTGGTACAACGGAGTTAAGTATAAGATCCACTGCGTAAGGTTGTTGTAAAGACAACCGGTCAAGCCTTCAAATCAGTCGGTCATGCCTTAGAACAGTACCTGGCGCGGAGGAAGGCCTCACTGCATAAATGCCAGATATTATTATTATTGTGCTATGCAAGAGCTCCAGATCTCCCCCCATATCACTTCCCTGACACCTGCACACCACACAGACACTGGTCAGGGCTGTGATGGCCTCCTGGTTCCTTCACATCTCGTAACCTGTCCGGGTTGGCCATGTGTGATCAACTTCGGGTCTGCTCTCAACCTGAGGAATCCACGTGGTGCCCAGGCCTGGCATAAGGAGGCTGTGCTGACCACTCAGGGTCCACTACTCATTGGCATCCTGAGAGGTGGACAACATCTCGCACATTTCTTCAGGCAAAGAAACAGCCTTGGAGGCATCGAAAAGCAATCAATGTCACCTGGCTTGATGCTGGTGGAGCCTTGCACTCAAATCTGTCCGTGCTCAGTGACAACTTGGTCTGGGTGGTCCTAGCTGGGGAGCAGCAGGGATGTGGCTAGGGGCACAGCAGTGCAGGTCCAAAGGAACTCTTCTCCTCAAGTCGCGCCATGCGCACGTGGGGCAGGTTGCTGAGGGTCTCAGGGCTGGCTGAGCCCAGTTCCGCGCTGGGGCACGTGGGGTCGGGTGGTTTGGGAAAACTCAGGTTGCAGTCAGAAGAAAGGTGAGAAGTCTAGCTGCGCCTTGGGGCCCTGCAGCGGTTGATAGCCACCAGAGGGCGCCCCAGAGCGCGACTGGCCTCCGCCCCAGTCCAACCCCTTCCCAGCTTCTCTGCGCTGGGCGCGATAAATCGCCCACACTGCGTGCCTCCGGTCTGCGAGAGCCCACGCCGTCCCCAGGTACCGGCCATGCGCTCTCAATCCTCTCTTTCTCTTTCCAGTCAGCACCCACCCCACCTATCCTAAATCTCACCCCTCGGCTGTCCAGGTTCCTTCCTTCGGGGGTATCTCTACCCCCACCCCCACCTGTGCACTCTACCAGGCCCAGCGAGCCGGAACCGAGGTCTGCGAAGGGGGCGGAGCGGGCCGGGATGGCTCGGGTGACCGCACGGCGGTCAGCGCTCTGGGCTCCAGCAAGCAACGCACTTAGCACCCCGTACATTGCAGGCTGGAACTGTAAAGCCTTTCCTGGCTCTGCTCTCTGGCTTCCGCCTCTGCAAAAGGGCTTTTCATCCCAGCTCCAGGCTCCTTCAGGCTGTGGTGCCTACCTACACCAGTGACAGTACCTTGGGGGGATGAGATTGACTAGCAAGACTCAGCTACCTGCCTTTGATTGAGCATTTACTAAGGTCTTGGAACCCTTCTAGGAGCTCTGGTAGCATAGTGCCTAAGTTCAAACCCACCAGCCACTCCTGGGAAGGAATATGGGGCAATCTACTTCGTAGTGATACTGCCTCGGAAACCCAAGGAGGGGTCACTATGAGTCAGGCCGACTCAATGGCACATAACAACAAGAACCCTTCTGGGAGATGTGGTGGCATAGTGCTTAAGGTATTTGACTGCTAACCAGAAGGCTGGCGGTTCAAACCCACTAGCCACTCCTCAGAAGTTAGATTGAGCCATCTACTTCTGAAGAGAAGTAGACCCAAGGAAGGGTCACTATGAGTCATATCTGACTCCAGGGCAGTGAGTTTTTTTTTTTTTTGGTTTAGGCACCCTGCCAATGTTTTACATGAGTGGCCTCATTTAATCCTATAAATCCACTATGAAATAAGTACTATTATCCTGATTGGCAGAAAAGGATAATAATAGTAAGAACAATAATTGTAATGGGAGCCCCACGTATTGCATTCTTACTGCTGGCAGTCATCTTCACTTGTTAATTCTTCAGGTAAACTTTATTGCCCTTATATTTTAGATGGGGAAACTGAGACCCAATGTCAATTGAGTAGCAGAGACAGAAATAGCACCTACATCATCCTGCCCTCAAAACAGAATTCCAGGAGGACTATCCTGGAGGTCTCCTTGCCGCTTACTGTAGAGATTCATATCCTGCCCTCTCGGGGGAAGCCTTCCCACACCACCTTGGTGGAGTGTTATATGGCCCTATGAGACCCTACCCCTCACCAGCTTGGTCTTGAACCTCAGGTGCTCTACTAGCACAGCAGCAGCAGGCATGGCAGACGTGGAGCAGCGTGAAGGCAGCATCCAGGTGCAGAGCCAGAAACTCTTCTTCCGGGAGGTGCGACCAGGTGGTGGGCAGGCTGCTCGCTTCTCTGTGCTGCTGCTGCATGGCATCCGCTTCTCCTCTGAGACCTGGCAGAACCTAGGCACACTGCACAGACTGGCCCAGGCTGGCTACCGGGCTGTGGCCATTGACCTGCCAGGTACTTCTATGACTGGGCTTCTGGACAGGGGTTGGGAGGTCTCATCTGGGATCCGGATCGTCATGTGTGGTAGCTGGGAGCCATGGGACTGGTAAGACCCAGCCAGGCTGGGCCATGATCTTGGCAGAACATGGTGCACCCTGCAAGGGCCTTTGAGCCTCTCCAGCCTTGTTCTGATATTGTCAGGACACTGCCTGGCTGCTCCTTGTGATACCAAGCAGTGTCTTTGTCTCTGAACTTCCATTTCCTTATTTATAGTCGAGATAACCACACTCATTTTTGGGGTTGACCCCAGGGAGAATGGAATGAGATAATCCATGTGAGTATGTGGCTAGTACTTGATACATAATAATCCTTGCTCAGCAAGTGGAAGTAAAATACTTTGATGGAGCTCTGATCATAGGCTCTTGGAAGCCCTGGGCATTGTGACTGAGTCTCCCAGCACTTTGGGGGGCTGGATGGGGCCTGGTGGCTGCTAGGCCCCTCATGATCCCACTTGCAAAGCCCAGACTGATGGTCACAACTAGCAGACCCCAGCCCAAGGGACTAAATATGGAAGGGGCAGGCAGCATGGCTCAGCAAATCCCCTCTGCCAACTATGGCTTGTTTGGTTTCAGGGTCCAAGGGCAGGTCTTCAGCCCAGGCCTGATTAGTTCACGCAGTGGGCTGGGCAAAGCTTTAGGGTGAAAGTTTTGAGATAATTATGCTGGGGAAGGTGGAGACTGACTGGCTGAGGCATGTGGTATGGTACAGGTGCAGAGTTTACTCTTGCTACCATCCATGAGGCACCCACCCAAGTCCCAAGTCAGTCCAGTATCAAAACAAAACAAAACAAAACAAAAAATGCCAAACCCACTGCCATTGAGTCAATTCTGACTCATAGTGACCCCCTTTGGATTTCCGAGGCAATAAATCTTTACAGAAGTAGCTTGCCCAGTGTTCATTCTGCGGAGTGGCTGGTGGGTTTAAACCACCAACCCTCTGGTTAACAGTCAGATGCCTTAGGCACTGTAATACCAGAGCTTAATTGGTTAACTCTTTTAATTTTCACAGCAGTATTAAATGGCAGGTACTTTTATCATCCTTTTTTAACAAATGGGGAAATTAAGGAGCAGAGAGAGAGAGAGCTGATCTGAAGGTCATAGAGTAGAGAGAACTGGATTTGTACGCAGCCCTTTCAGACTTCAGAACCTGATTCTTCCTAGGACTGTACTGCTAGGAGAGATGGGGCACAGACATGGAGGGAAATGCTTCACACTCCTCACGGATATGACAGATCTAGGCCATTGTAGGAACAATCAATCTCATGCGTTCTGGGCATTGCAGAATCTGGACGTGGATGGACAAAGGAGGGCTTTCAGGATGAGGGAACTCTTCCATTTCTTCTGGATCATTGCCCTTGTCTTATATCTCCTCCACCCAGGTCTAGGGCATTCCAAGGAAGCAGCGGCCCCTGCTCCTATCGGGGAGCTTGCCCCTGGCAGCTTCCTGTCAGCTGTGGTGGATGCCTTGGAGCTGGGCCCCCCAGTTGTGATCAGCCCATCATTGAGTGGCATGTACTCCCTGCCCTTCCTCATGGCCCCTGGCTCCCAGCTCCGGGGATATGTGCCTGTGGCCCCTATCTGCACAGACAAAATCAAAGCTGCTGACTATGCCAATGTGAAGGTACCTGTATGAAAGGCTGAGAATCACCTGCTGGGAGCAAGGAAGGGTCCATGCTGGGGATTTTTCCTGGTCTGGGGGCTGGGTAGCCAAGTTAGGGTGCTTCTGGGAGGAGTTGAACACCAAAGTCCACCTTTTTGGTTCAGTTAGCAGCAAATTTCTGTGCCAAGTCCTGTGCTAAGCTGTGTGCTGGGGCAGACACAAATCTACAACCTTGTCCTTTGTGAGCTGGGGCCTCTTCCCCTATCCACTGGGCTAGTTTGTCTATCCTTAGTTGAGGTGACCTTGGGAAAGACTAAAGAGTTGGAGAGGGCTGGAGCTGACCTCCAGGAGGCTGGGGTTGTGGCGCATCTCTGTTGACTCTGCCCACTTTTCCTTTCTCAGACCCCGGCTCTGATCGTGTATGGAGACCAGGACCCCATGGGCCAGACCAGCTTTGAGCACCTGAAACAGCTGCCCAACCACCGGGTGCTGGTCATGGAGGGGGCGGGGCACCCTTGTTACCTAGACAAGCCTGAGGAGTGGCATGCAGGGCTGTTAGACTTCCTGCAGGGCCTGGCATGAGGCCCAGCCCTGCTCTTGGGGGTGGGCCACCAGCCTGCCTTGGGCTCTCTCTCTTTCCTCCTCGAGCCCTGACTCATGCACATGCAACAGGTGTGTGTATATCTCTGTCTGTCCATCTGGGTTCTTATCTGATGGGGTCTGTCTTTCCCTCTTCCTCTTTCTCTTGCAGTGACAGTCTGAGGAGGTGAAACCAAGAGAAAAGAGCTCATGAATCAAGGGACATAGTCTGGTGGAGGGTAATCCATTAGATGAGCTTCTCTTATAGGCTTTCCTGCTCAGCTTTCCCTACTTCCTCTGCTCTGGCCAGCCTCCCTCTCCCACAGCCTCCTTCTGTTGTCCTGTATTCCAGTCCCTACCTGGAGCTCTGGTAGCATAGTGCCTAAGCCACTTGACTGCTAACCAGAAGGCTGGCGGTTCAAACCCACCAGCCACTCCTCGGAAGGAAGGTTGGGCAATCCTACTTCCATAGTGATACTGCCTTGGAAACCCAAGGAGGGGTTGCTATGAGTTGGGGCCAACTCGACGGCAAACAACAACAACCTGGAGCTTAGGCCACAGATACATACATGCTTACATGCATGCGCATACATTTTTAGAGCCATCCGTGTTTCCAAATAGGACCCTTCACTTGGGAGCTATCACACAGCTCTGGACGGATATGCACATTCCATGTGCAGCCGTGTATGCATGCACACACATACATGCACTTGTACAGCTATACTGCTCCCAGTGGTTCAGCACCCCACTGTCTGGAATTGTGGGGGAGCCCTGGGCCAGGCCTTGCAGAAGATCCTCTGGCAGGCTTGGGGGTGGCCAGCCCTGGACTCCACTCACCCACAGGTTGCATTGGCCCTAGCCCAAAATTTCACACTGAAAAGAGACACCCCCTCACCCCCAATCTCCCTGCTTTTCCCCTGCCTTCTGGTGTTCCCCTCTACCCCTGGCACAGCAACTAGACTTGTTTCCTGCTCTGAGGTTTGAGGGGCGGGGAGACTGAGTGGAGGTCGGTGAAATAAAGTGATGCAATTAGACCCCGCAGGCTCTTGCCGTCTCCAGAGCACCGCCCCTCCCCCTTCCCTTGGGATCATCACGGTGGGCCCTTCCCCCACTCTGGCGGGACCAGATGGTCCCCCCTGCCCTTTGTCCTCCAGGCCAGATGGAGGGGAAGGGAGATTGGATTCCCATCCCCACCCACACAAACCCAGGTGCCAAGAGATTCAGATGTGGGGGGAGGTGGAGGTCAGTGGGACCAGGCTGAGCCGATTATGGAGAGGGGGAGAAAGATTTGCTACCCGGGTGGGGCTGGGAGGTGTCTCAGAATCATCTCAGCTCCCCACCCCCCTTACCCTTCCCTGGTAGAGGACTTAATTTTACCCCGTCCGTCCCTGTCCCTTGCAGCCCTAGCTGGCCCAAAAAGGAATTTTGGGGAAATCTTGGGACAAAGTGCAAAGTTGTATCGCTCTCAGGCCCCTCCTCCAACAGGCCTGGTAACCTGTCCTAGGCCGAGCCGGGCTAGGCCTCGCGTTAGCTATGGGTGGCAGTGGGGAGCGGATCTGGTGGGCCAGAGTCCCGCGCGGGGAATGGCGCCGAAGCATGGAGAGCCAGGCGGGGCGGAGGGTTGAAGCCCGAGCTCCGAAGGACCGGCGTCGGGAGCGAGACGGAGCCGGACAGTGCGGGGGCCGGTGGCGAGGCCGAGGCCAAGATGGGGCTTGCAGGGGGCTCGGCAGAGGCGCCGGGCGAGCGGGAAGGAGTAGTCAGCAGGGTGCGGAGGGGCTCCGAACCACGCGCAGCGCCGGAGAACCCGGAGGACCACGGCTGGAGGGAGACGCTTCAGACTGGACTCCCAACGTCACCCAGGGGTTCTGGGAGCTTCTGGGAAAGGGTCCCCGAGCCCTCCCGGAAGCGGCCGCTGCTCGGGGCGCTCCGCGGAGCGGGGCGGGGCGGGCGGCTGCGGCACTGGGGAGGCTGGGGCGGGCCCGCCGCTGTGT